TGTGCTAGGCACAGAAAGTGTAGCCTGTATCTGTGTCTGCAGCTCCTATTTCTGAGGCCATGGGGTGCATGAAGTAGCACAGTCATCATGATTTTACAAAGAACTTAAAAAAAATACATGCACTAACTTCCCTGTATTTCCTGGCCAAAAACCAATTTCTCTTCCTTCTGAACTTTATGGGAAATTATCTGCAGCTTTCAAATTACTTACTACTTTCTCTCTCTCTATTTTATTTTACTTAATTTGACTACTAGATCCTTTAGAATGGGGTGGTTGCTATTTCATTTTTGTGTCTTCTAAAGCAAATACATGCAGGTAGATAGATAGGATATATACAAATTATTAAATATCTTCAATATACAACTAAGTGCATTAAAATATTAATAGTAAAATTAAGAGCTCTGAGATCATGAATGATAATTATTTTCTTTTTGGTTTCATACATACTTTCTAAATCATACACAAGGAATAGATCTTAAGTCTCACACACACACATACCCCCAATAAAAGTAACTAAAAAAAATTATAAAGTATCACACTGGAATAACAAGCATGCATTTCAATTATGACATTATATCAAGGGCTGAACACATGGAGTTTTAAAAATATACATTGTTTCAGCCTGAAGAAGCAATGGAAAGTTACCAGTACAATTTGTATTCAGCTGCAAAATAAAGCTGTTTCCCCAAACCTCTGACCTGAACCTGGAGTGGAAAAGAGCAGAGCCACATACAATTATGTCACTTCATGGAGACGACACAAAGCATTGATAATTAACCAGTTCTTTGGAAAAGAGAAAAACGGTTAATAGAAGTATGGTTTCTGGGAAACATTTGTCTCCGTATTTCCCCTAAAGAACATACTTCATTTGCAGAAATGGTAACCATCAAGAGTTGGAGTAATCCTGGCACTCTGGGATGCCGAGGCAGGAGAATTGCTTGAGCTCAGGAGTTCGAGACCAGCCTGAGCAAGAGCGAGACCCCATCTCTACTATAAATACAATGAAATTAGCCAAATAACTAAAAATAGAAAAAAATTAGCCGGGCACAGTGGTGCATGCCTGTAGTCCCAGCTACTGGGGAGGCTGAGGCAGGAGGATTGCTGGAGCCCAGGAGTTTGAGGTTGCTGTGAGCGAGGCTGACGCCACAGCACTCTAGCCCGGGCAACAGAGTGAGACTCTGTCTCAAAAAAAAAAAAAAGTTGGAGTATAAAAACTTTATCAAGTGATATTGGTTACAATTAGGAATCGTCCTGAGATAAAAATGTATGGAGATAATCGAGATAAAGATGTTTGCAATCCTTACATTTAAGGCAAGACTAAACAAGAGGCTATGGATCAAACAACCAACCTTCTATGTGTGCATGCCATTGCTTCTGTTAGAGTGGAATCTAATTTGAAATGTCACGCCTTTAATATTCTATTGCATATTGATCATGTGTGGCGCTGATGCCATGCACTTTATTCTGCCCAAAGTGCGCTCAGGGAGGTGAGGAAAGCAGGAGCAGCAGGAAAAGCAAACTGGTATCAAGCCCCGTGAGGACTTAAGGGGTCCTGCCACCACTCTGTCTGGCATTGAGCTGCTCGGCCTGCAGGCATCTTCTGGAGCTGCGGCTCTGCTGGGGCACAAGGTCTCTGCTTCATCTGAATCTCCAAGGGGAAATTTCAGGTTGACTTCAGTAAGATCATGACTCTTTTTCTCTGTTCATGTGTTGGATAAAAAAGAATCAGCACTTTCTCCTCTGAGCTCCTCCGCTAGGCTCTGAGTGATGACGGAGAAGTTTTCCTTCTATCCTCTAAGCTACTAAGATAACCCACAGGGCTGAAAGAGCAGACTCCTCCACGTTCCACAAGCGAGGCGGCGGCGGTAGTTTAGTGCTGGAACTTACGAAAGTGATGGAGTCACTGTAATTGATAGTTGTGAAGAGAGAGACAGATTTTTTGCAACACAATAGCCCTCTAACTTTAGTTAGGGCAAAGGCAGAATATTCAGAAGTCTTTTCCGAGAGGTTGTATTGAAACATTTTCAAATGGCTTGTACTTGAATATTTTTTAAAAATCTGTCCCTTTTCCAGCAATCCCATTGCTGGGCATCTACCCAAAAGATCCAATGACACTCTACAAAAAAGACAGCTGCACTCGAATGTTTATAGCAGCACAATTCATAATTGCAAGGCTGTGGAAACAGCCCAAGTGCCCATCAATCCAAGAACGTATTAATAAAATGTGGTCTATGTATACCATGGAGTACTATTCAGCTCTAAGAAACAACAGTGATATAGCACATCTTGTATTTTCCTGGTTAGAGCTGGAACCCATTCTACTAAGTGAAGTATCCCAAGAATGGAAAAACAAGCACCAGATATACTCACCCGCAAACTGGTATTAACTGAGCAGCATCTAAGTGGACACATAGGTACTACAGTAATAGGGTATTGGGCAGGGGGGAGGCGGGAGGAGGGCGGGTATATACATATATAATGAGTGAGATGTGCACCATCTGGGGGATGGTCATGCTGGAGACTCAGACTTGGCGGGGGGAGAAATGGGCATTTATTGAAACCTTAAAATCTGTACCCCCATAATATGCTGAAATAAAAAAAAAATAAAAAAAATCTGTCCCTTTATATGAAGCCATGTATATCTCAAGCAACCGTGAATTCCCCACGTACATTGTAATCAGTGAATTTGTACAAGCAAATGGACTGTTAGCACTGGGTTTCTATTTCAAGCAAAAGTACAGGACGCTTCTTACTTTAGGAAATTAAAACAAGGGCTAAAACTTTTAATTACATGCTAAAAATTCTTGTTACATATGTGTTACTCTATTTTGAATATATTAATAATTGGAAAAGTTAACTTTTTCTTTATCATTGCTGGTCCTCTCTCTCTCTCTCTCTCTGGTTGATCAATACATTTAATAGTTTATCATAAAATGTTATACACATTAGAAATAATAGAAAACATATGTATACTAAAACTTTCACTAGGAAGTTAACTAGAATTTAGGAAGATTTATACCCAGGTATGTTGTTAAGTAGGTTAATCTCAAATTAATCTCAAATATGGGTAGATTTCTCAATCAGGACTACTATTCCTTATTTAGACATATGTTTATTAAGAAATATGAAATCAAATAACTTGATTTAAAGAGTTATAACAATATATATTCTGTGTAAAGGTGTATTTCCTCTTTGAAAAATGTTTAGTGATACTATAACTTAATCTAAATTAATGTGATGCTAATGTTTTCAACTAAACTTTACTAAACACAGTCAGACCTAAAGGACAATAACAGGGTGAGTCATTCAGTTAGGTTGGCTTTAAAATTCTATCCACAATTCTCCAGTCAATATCTAATTATAAGTACACTGGAGAATTCCAACTCTGCAATTTGAAAAAAATGAATCCATTAAAACAGTGACTATATTAAGTTAGGATCAACTGCAAACCATTTAAGTATTTTATATTAATAAAATAAAAAGATAAAATGATATCAGTGGAAATTATTAGTTGCAGTTACTAAGTTTGTCCCCTCCTCAAAGTTGGAAACATTAAGAAAGCTACCAGCAACATTAACAAAAATGCCCTTTAAATCAAACTTCATAAAATAAAGCCACTTCCCTAGAATTTAAGCTTAAAAGGTAAAGACTGACGAAAGACAGGTATCATCCTTTTATGTTTCTTGTCCATAGACACAAATGGAAGGCAGTATCAGTGCAGTACGAACAAGTCAATATGTGATACAATATTAGCACAGGGACGATATGGTCTAACTTGATCAAAGTTACTCAAAAGCTGTCTCTCTTATAAAACTCAAATGTCATTGGTTCCACCATATGAGAGTCTGTGTAACTCTCCTACTATAAATTTCTGTTTTCTTTTGAGAAATCACACATTAGTATTACAAATTTTCCAAAGTAAAAGTGATTCAGTAAGAAATAAGTTGGAATTCACATTAGTATTACAAATTTTCCAAAGTAAAAGTGATTCAGTAAGAAATAAGTTGGAATTTGCCACCAAGCATTGACTCTACTTGAACAGTGGCAAGAGCCAGGTCATTGCATTGATACTCAGAAGGATGGTGCCTGCCCACCCGCCACCTGCTCCCGGGTCCTGGGCCCCCTCTCTGGAAACCAATTCAATTCCAACACCCACCTGCTGTCTGGTGGCCCCAGCTCAGCTCACTCTCCTTGGTGTGGTCCCTTGGGCAGAGCTGCTTATAACTGTTTATAGAACACCTGCTTAAGTGCTCGATTCCCATCAAAGCCCTACCTAGGTGGCAGATCCTGCTATGATGCTTTGTTTTATAGGGGACAAATGTGTAAGGTTGGGGAGGTTAAATGACTTGCAGAAGGACAAACCAGTAAGCGACAAAGCCAGGATTTGAACCCAAGACTCTCCTGCTTTGGAATTTATATCCTTAATTCAGAGACTCCCATTTCATTATTTGTGATTATTCTTTCATTGTTTGATGAGATCTTAAATTATGTAAAAAAGTCCTTTTCAAATTTTTTTTTTTTTAATCAGGCAGGGGAGCATCTGTCTGTCGCTTTAGGGAAACAAATAACTTTAGCTGATCCTTCAAATAAAAAGCTCTTTCCAATCTGAGGACTCAACACAGTATTCTGACCATGCGAATACTCGGAGAGGGGGTGTCCTCCAGGAGTCCAGCGTCCTTGCACAGAGTTGGCCGCTCCAGGCACAAACCCAGGCACAATTCCAGGTAAAGGGCTCACAGAGCTATTTCCCTCCAGGAAGGGCCTGGCCACATTTACTCCGAGCCCTGCTCCCCACTCTCTCCCTCCTGCCCCTCGCCCTTCCCACGCTCAGCTCACCTTGGTCAGGAAAGGCATCTGAGAAAATCAAAAGGGCAAGCCATGCCGGGTTCAGGCTGCTGTGATCACAGCACCTTTGCTGCCTGCGGGTCCTGCTGTCTAATGCTGCCCCCGCCCGCGCCCAGGGGGTGGACTGGCGGGGCTTTTCTCTACCGGGTTTTCACCTGTTGTCGGCTGCACTTGCTCTGGAGAGGGCTGTGCCCTGCTGCGAGCTCGAGCTCCGGTGGAGGGAAGGCGGGCTGCAGGCCACCCACCTGCGGGGAGGCCGGGCCACTCGGCGGGGCGGCGCCGGCCCTGAGCACGCTCCAGCCCGCAGGTCCCGAGCCCCAGGCTGGAGGTATGACCCTTTTCTGCACAGCGGGGAGGTGCAGGGCCTGACCACTCCCCGCCTCGGAGCCTGCCGGGAGTGTTTACTCTCTCGGAACAGCTGACAGGTGCGCTCCTCCGAGAGAGGTGAACTGCCACTCTGGCTAAGGAATCTGATCCTGAGCTCTGCTCTCCCTGTCTGGTCCCTCCCGACTGCAGACAATTGGTCTTTGACAAATGACAACAGTTAGCACGGAACACCATTGTGCCAGGTCTTTCTTTTTCAAATTTTCTGTTTCAATTTGAAATTTCTTAATTTTCTTTTCCTGTTTTGGTTTTGGTTTTGCCAGCCCATTTCCCTGCCAGCGCCTTTCCCCCAGCGCAAGCCGGCGTCCCGGGTCAGGGAGCACTGGCACCGCTTGAGCAGCTGGCTCGGGCCCCTCACTACCTGTGAGCCGCCCGTCCGGCAGGTCTCGAGTGCTCTCCAGGCGGCTATATTTTTGATAAGCTCCACAGAAGAATCTGGTAGGCATCAAATGTCTGCCAGACATTTGAATCATTTGAAATGATTGTATGAATTGAAACGAATTTGGAAATGGCCGTAGTAAAGTACAACAGGGAAAATAAGAATTTAGTTGTTGTCTATTGTATCGGATGTGGGGACTTGGCTTTTGCTCAATGCCTCCAATTTTAAAAGGGCGCCAGAAAGACTTAGTGTCAGAAGATAGATGCTGTGGAAGCGCAAAGTGCTCTTATTTTGAGTATCGTTGGTATTTACTACGTAAAGCACCTATTGATAACTTTTCAAACCTAATAGATTATTTTACACGTGTAAACCTTAGAGTCCACAAAAGGAATTCGGTATGATTCCTACGAAGCATGCAGCCAGCAGTTGATGTCTTGTGTCCTTCCGGTTCAAATGCCAAATCGATAGCACGACTATGACTTAGACATGCAGGTTACCCCTTTGAGATAGTACTTTCCGACTTCGCGAGTTTAAAAGGTCAAACAGTTCATCTCTTTAACCTGTGGTATGTGGACACCAGGGGCTGTTAGGTTTATAATTCTTTGGGCAAGTGGTCTTATTGGATCGCAATCAAAGCTTTTACAATCATATAAATACAGGTGTAACTTATACGGAATTACCTGTGGCTTTTATGATAGTTTGATCGTCATGTTGGCCCCACCTCTCTCTGGTGTGTGGCGGGGTGTGGACTGACCTTTGAATGATGACTAACAGGACCTGCAGTGTTTGCAGCTCTGGGTTCCAGGATGTCTTGCTCATGTTTTTGTTCCACCTGCATTGTCTGTACCCTGCCCAGATCGTTTGCTTTTTTTCAGTATCAGGGCAACATTGTTTCGCATCTTTTGTCTGCAGCAGCCTTGAAGCCTTTGTTCTGATTACTGCCTTCCAACTGGTTTCCTTTAGTTCGAGACTCAGTGACTCTTTGAGTGCTTTATCCTTTTGTAAATTGGTGATTTTTATTTTGTAGCATAGAAAGTATATCATTGCTTGCATGCAATGTTGAAAATTTAAAAAACACGGAAACATAGAGGAAAAAAATCACCTGTAATTCATCTCTTGAATATAAACAATTGTTGAATGCCTTTATTGGAATATTTTCTCTGTGAATATTTACCAAAATACTATTACAATAGGTTTGTTGTTTTATAACTTGATTCTATCATATCAAACATATTATGAACAATCTACCAAATATTAGTGTTTTTCTGGCAATGTGATTTTGACTAGCTGAACTGTGTTGCACTATATGGACATACCATTATTTATTTAATCAGTTTTTTATTGGGAAAAGTTATATTGCTACAAGCAACACTCCTGTGAATGCTTATCTATAACTGCACATAACCATGATTATGCCTTTTAGATATATTTCAAAAAGTGAAGTTGCCAGATGAAAGGGAATATGCATTTTTAAGAATTTCTCTCCTTAAAAAACCTTGTCAATATTGTACTTCTAGAGCAAATAAAATAAGTTATACTTTTTAAAAAAACATTTGCCAATTTGAAAGTTTAAAACAATCCACATCTTATTTTAAATCTGTATTATTTATTACTTATAAGATTGACCTATTTCTTTAGATTTCCCTTGAATTTTAGTTTTGTGTTTATTGTACCCTTTGCTCATCTTTTTCTTGCTGATTTATAAGATTTTTTTCACGTAGTAAGCATATCAACTCTTCATCAAATATGCAGTGTTTATATTTCCCAGGTTATTTGTTTTTTATTCTTATTTGTTTTTATTTTGTTATGATATTTTTGACATGTAAACATTTAAATAGTCAAATCTATTATATTTCTTTATTGGTTACCCCTCAGTTTTACAAAAGTGTTCCTATCTTTAAAGTATATAAATAATATTTACTTATTAAATTGACCATTTCAACCCATCTGAACTTTATTATGTTGAAAGCCATGAAATTTAAATTTAACTTAATTTTCCTAAATTATTAGTGTATTAACCAAGTCATATTTATTAAATAACTATAGATTATAAACTCCATGAAGGCAAGGATCGTGTTTATTTCAGCCTCTATTTTATCCCCTAACCTTAGCACAGGGACTGATAGTTGCTTGGGTCACTTTTGATTGCTTTCTTTCCTCCTTCCAAGCCCAGGAAATTAGCAAGCCCTGATGTTGTAGCTCTACTGCTCCCACCCGACATCAGACCAGCATCATCTCTTGCTTGGAGACCACAAATGGCCTCCTAACTGGGCTCTCCACCTCCACTCTTGTCCTAGTACGGTCCATTCTCCATTTGGAGCCAGCATAATCTTTTATAAACAATATCCAGATCATGATACCACTTCTGATTTCTTTTGCTAGTAGCCATTCTTCCTCACATCTGGAATAAAATCTAAATATGCACTCCTCACCGTAGCCTGCAAGGCCCTAGATGAGCTGGCTTGTCCTTAGCTGCTTTGATCCTACTGATTCTCTGCTCCCCTGGTACTAACTCTATACTTGCTACCCTGGTTTTATTTTTGTTCCTGGAACAGACCAAGCTTGTTCCTGCCTCACTACCTTTGCACTTGGTATTGCCTCTATCAAGAAAGCTCTATTCTGGTCACAGTTTGGTTTCTTTTCACTACTCTGTTCTTTTCTCAAATAGTATCTTCTCAGGGAAGCCTTCCATGACCACCCTGTTGGAAGAAGGTCTCCAATCTCGTGACTATTAGTTTGATCCTCATGTTGGCCCCTATCATGTGGCTCTACCAGAGTACCCTATTTTATTGTGTTCATGGCAATTATCACTATCTGAATGTCTTTTATTGTTTTGGGTTACCTCTACATTTTATGTCTCCTCTCATTAAAACATACCATCGAAAGATCAGGGACCTTGACCTCTAGGTCCATCGCCATATTCTCAGTGCCAAGAGCAATGCCATGTCAGAGGCTCGAGAAACATCGGGTCATGAACAAATAATGGTGACAATAAATATGTATTGAGTAAACAAATGTGGATCATACTGTTTCCTGATTTGAAATGACACTTTTATCAAATACTAAGGGCAAGATAATGTATTTTTTAACATGTTTCTAGAATTTATATTCTATTCCACTGAGCTACATATCTACACAGGCATCAGTTCTATTAATATATTATTATAGTTTTATAGTACAATTTAATATCTGATAGAATAATATGATCATTTCTAAAATTTTCTTAATTATTCTTGCCTTGTTAATGTCATAAATAGTAGCTCACTATAGAGTAATAATCATTTAACTCATACTTAGTGACTTTACCACTAAACATTGTTATTGGTAAATTCTCCTAGGCCAGAAGACTACTCTATAATTAGAAGTTAATTACTTCAGGCCCAGGATTGAAAGGCTCCTAAAGTAGAAAGTTTTCTTGGTGATTGCCTTCTTCTTAACAAAGATTTGTACTTGCTTCTGCTTCTCCATTTCTACCCCCTGGACACACACACACACACACACAACCACAGATACAATCACACACACACTTCTTAATAACATATAAGTTGTCTCAAAGTTTTGGGATAGAATAAATAAAATAAATAAGCAATGTAATATCTTGTATGAAAGTTTAATTCCAAGTGTCAACAGCTTGTAAGCAATTAAGGTCAATGGACTTACACCTGCATACCAGCAGTTGCCTGATACTGAAAGTCAAGGGATAGCCTGGACACGATTCCAAACAAAAATAATGGAATATCTGGTCTGATTCCTGGACAGAATACATGACATTAGGACTTTGTTAGGAAATCATGGTTATATAAGTGTGAAATAAAAACACATTCTCAGGAATGCAGACTGTTTACAGTATATTCTGTATTTGGCCCTTCTTGCCCCGATGACAAAAGACATGTGTTGACAACTTCCGTTATCCCTCATTTACTCAAACCACCCTGGTGCCCGTAGCACACACTCAACTCAGTGGTCATGCTTGAGGGTATAAAGTTTGTATGGGTATGTTTTCTTGTTTTGTTCTGTGTTTTCAGTTTTTCATTTAATATTTCTCATGCATAATGGCAGAATTAAAATGCTATAAACTATTGACTACTTTTTTTAGAAGGATCCAAAACTGCTTTCCGTCCCACCCTTAATAACTCCAGCTGTATAGAGGTCATGTATTGTGAGCATAGGTGTTTGCAGAGTTTCAGAAAACAGAATGTGGCCGGGCGCTGTGGCTCACGCCTGTAATCCTAGCTCTTGGGAGGCCGAGGCGGGCGGATTGCTCAAGGTCAGGAGTTCAAAACCAGCCTGAGCAAGAGCGAGACCCCGTCTCTACTATAAATAGAAAGAAATTAATTGGCCAACTGATATATATATAAAAAATTAGCCGGGCATGGTGGCGCATGCCTGTAGTCCCAGCTACCCGGGAGGCTGAGGCAGAAGGATCACTCGAGCCCAGGAGTTTGAGGTTGCTGTGAGCTAGGCTGACGCCACGGCACTCACTCTAGCCTAGGCAAGAAAGCAAGACTCTGTCTCAAAAAAAAAAAAAAAAAAAAAAAAAAAGAAAACAGAATGTGGTTGAACTTGTGCTGGGTATAGCCACAACATGCAGCTCCTGGACCATATCCCGTTTGCACTAAGGGATCTTTTCTGGGCTGAATTCTTGCTATGTCACGTAGATCACGGCTTATTGACAGAACACTTGAGTAATGGTGGTTATATATCTTCTGGGCAGTGTCTGCTTACTAGTTAGAATAAAGTGCCAATGTGAAATAAATATTAATCTACCTGAATCACTCCCA